CTTTGTCCACTGGCTTTTTCGGCACAGAACTCCCAGTGTCTTGGGGCTGTTCCTCGACCTCTGGAGCATTCTGACCATAATCCCTCAGGTAAGCTTTCCCTGACCGAGTGCCAGGATTGCCTTCTGGGTATGCTGCTAGAACAATCCTCTCTTCTTCTGAATCAGTAAGAGGCTTGAGGTGGTCATCATCTTCACATGTTAGAAGACTTAGCCTTGCCTCCCCTCTTTCCAGACGAGGTGCTCGTCCACTGTTGATCTCCTAGCAGGTCAGCGTGGACCCACATGATTTCCCCTTTTGGGGTAGTGAGTGGCACCAACCCCCTGTCCTTCTGACTATGCAGGTCAGCATTCTTCAGGTGCATTTCTCCCTTGCGGATGGGTACAACACCGTTTGCAATTACCACTGGGGGAAAATCACCAAATTGGACCGCTATCATATTAGTGGAAACGGTCTTCTGCTCCGGCTTCAAGGTGAGCACATTAGCGTTCACCAGATTCTGCAAGATGTCTTTGAAGACATAACACTTTTTGGTAGGATGTCCCAGGAATCTGTGATAACGACAATAGTTGGGGTCATCCACTTTTCCTGCTTCATCTGGCTTCCTGATCTCAGGCAATTGTAGCTTGTTGTTCTTTCGAAGCAATTGGAATAAGGTATCCACATGCTCCTCTTTGAACGAATACTGCTTGGGCGCTCTTTGCTGATTTGGCGCCTTGCCTTGCTTATTCGGCGGTGGTACTCGCGTGTAGTCGGCCGCGTTGCTGATTTTGCTGCTGCGGCTTGGGTTGTGGCATTTCTTCGGCTTTGACCCGTGCCACTATTTCTTCAGCTTGTTCTCCTTGTGAGACTAGTTGTCTCCAGGAGCGACATTCTGCCACCCCCATTTGAGCAAGGAGCTGGGTCTGCAGGTTGTGCCTGCAAGTTTCAACCAGAGTTGATTGGGTCATACCTGAGGGGCACCATAATGCCATGCTGCAGAATCTTTCCACATAGGCCTTGATTGACTCTCCTTTCCTTTGCTTAGTGGCGAGAAGAGTTGGGACTGAGACCTCCGTGTCATCCTCGAAGAATCTAGCCAAGAATAGCCTTTCCAGATCTACCCATTTTTGGATAGATCCAGCAGGCAGCTTCATGAACCATTCGAAAGCGACACCCTTAAGGGTACCAATGAATAGCCTGATCAGGATGGCATCATTCGCTACTACATCTCCAGTTTGGGATTTGAAGTAGTAAATGTGTTGATTTGGCGATCCTGTGCCATCAAAAGGTTGTAAGGTAGGGGCCTTAAATTTTGGTGGGTAGGGAGCTGTATCCCACTCAGCAGGGTAAGGCCGCACTACTCCCTCTTCGCGGAGCTCACTTCGGTTGGCGATTGCGTTGAGGCGAGCTTCCAGTTCATCCATCTTGGTGGACTGAGGATGCAGTTCTTTTTCGATCTCCTTCTCACCTTCAGAAGAGGATCCCAGGTTGTGAGTCTCATGATCTGAATGTTCGTGCACTTTTTGTTTTCCCTTTGAAGTTGTTCTCCGGGAAGACTCAGGTTTGTGGCCTTTTTCAGCAAGAAGCTGAGCCAACATATCCTTCAATTGGAGAAGTGTCTCCTGTTGCGCCTGGAGCATGACATGATGTTCGTCCACTCTTTTGGCGATGTCTTCGTGATTCCCTGACATGTAAGCGGAGACCTCGCGTGCTCCAACAGAGCTTGAAGATTGAGATTCGGCTATTGCCGAATGCTCCTCACTTGTTGTAATGCCTTTGGCTAACTTTTGATAGTCAACCGGGCGAATAGCTCCTGTCCGAGTCCGAGTATTCTGATATACTCCTTCGAACTGGTCACAAATTTCTCGGACAGTTGGCGGATGACTCTCTTGTGACTCGTCAGAATCAGTATGCGAGGCCTTCCCTCGGCCGATCATGTTGATAGTGACCTGAGGGTATTCCGCTTCAACTGTCTTCTTTCTGTTGCGGCGTTGTCGTTTGGCAGGCCTAACAACGTTTGTCAACCTGTCGAATACGGACTGCCGAGGTGTGGATGCACAACAAGAGCATTCTGACAGGACGGCCGAGATAAGCCTCTCACATTGGCATGAGTGAGCTGCTTGTACTGTAGATTTTCCTCTCGACAATAATTCCCGTAAGTCAGGAATTTGGGAGGAAACTTTCCCCGGGCTCAGAAGTGGAGATGGAACCCCCTGCCCTTGGGTGGATGATACTGGTTCTTGTCGAACGTGAATTTTAAAGCCACGCTGACTTTTTTGAACCTGACGGACCTCTTGAAGATCGCGTTCTTGAGAAATAACGCGAGGGTCACGTTGACATTTGTAAACACTAGGCCGAGGCTTGCGTTTAAATGATGAACCTGACCTCTGAGGGTCAAGTTTTGGTTGAACGCGCCCCTGAGGGTCGCGTTTGGTTAGTGAAACAGACTCCTGAGAGTCATGCTTCGTTTGAACGCGTACCTGAGGGTCGCGTTTAATTTGTGAAACAGACTCCTGAGAGTCATGTTCAATTGGAACGCGCCCCTGAGGGTCGCGTTTGGTTTGTGAAACTGACTTCTGAAAGTCATTTTCAATTGGAACGCGACCTTGAGGGTCGCGTTTGGTTTTGACAGCTCCCTTCTGAGGGCTGCGTTTTGAATGAACAACGCGCCACTCAGGGTCGCGTTTGAGCTGTATCAGCCTAGGTTCGTAGTTGGGCTCATTGCCACGCAGTGAGCGTTCTTCTTTGGGAATGCTAGGCTCGGTTGGATTTTTAGAAACGCGATCTTCGCGTTGGGCCAACAATCGGCTTTCCCGTAAGTGTGCTCGTCGTATGGATCTTCTCCGTCGGCGAGCGGCGTTCTTTTTGGCTTGTTTCAAAGCCTTAGCAGCAACGTCATTGACGTTTACAGGACTCGTCTCTTCCAGAGGCCGTTTGTGACCCGAAGCACGTCTTGCTGACGCGGAGATGGGCTCTTCCGCCAGCAGAGCCAGTTTGAGTTCCTGGCCGAAGGAGAGGGCTTTCTTCGGCACTTCAACAACAGAATCGACCTTCTTTGAGGTCTTGCGAACATCGTGCTTAGCCTTGGGGCTAAGCGATCCAGAGGATAATGCTTCCTCATATTTCGCTTGATCAAACTCCACGATGAGAGTTTCTACAGTCGTTCCCATGAGGTGGACATCGGACTGAGCCACCACTTCTTCGTCGGAAAAGCTAGTCCCCAGCAGAATCGCCATCTTTTGTATGTAGAGAAAATTGCAAAGAAGAGAATAAAGAAAATGTGACTTTGATTCCTTTGATCTCGGTTACAACTTGATTACAAAAGAGAGGAAAACGAATTTGGTTTTGCCCTTTGTTTAAAACTGGGTTTTTCTTGGCAGCGATGGAGTGCTTCCTTCGATTGATTGCGTCGAACTTGCTCTCCGTTGACGATCCGACCGTCTTTATCTCGTGGGAACGATGAACTTTCGTGGAAAGTTTTATGAATAACTCTGAATGAGTTTTAGAACTCTGAACGAGTTTGAACTCTGTGAATAGAGTTGTTGGAACCGAAAATTCGGTTAATAATCAAGCTGTTTTTCTGTTGTTGAAAGATTCTCTCAGATTTGATTTTCTGAGGTTGGTTCAAAAATCCTATCTCCAAGGATTTCGTTGCTGTTGTTGCCGAATCTCCAAACCTGAGTGGTTTTGATGATGAAGAATCCAACCCTTGATCTGATTATCAAAAATCCGATCCTTTAACTCTGTCGAGTTTGTTTGAGAACTGAAAATCTCCAACCTGTATGGTTTAGATCTTTTGAATCCAACCTGTGTGGTTCAGATGCCAAAAATCCAACCCGTAACTCAGTTGAGTTCGTTGAGCTTTTATAGGGGGATAAGAGGTTGTAACTGACCCCTAAATCTGGCGTTCAGAACCCAACTTCGCTTCTTAGGATTGAGACGCGAGGTTGGGTGTTAGCTGAACACCATTGAACGCGAGGGTCGCTCGCGTTTTGGCTTGTTGCCTGCTTGGAAACGCGGGGGTCAATGTTGGTTGGACCCCTATGAACGCGAGGGTCGCTCGCATTTGGATTGTGGCTTGGCGACGCGGGGGTCGCCTTCATTTCTAAAGTGGTGACGCGGGGATGACATCCGCATCTCAGAATGAGCTATTTGACTTGTAACTTCTTCTGTGGTGCATTGCAAGGACCGTTGTTCAGTAATCCTGGCTTTTAGCTGTTGTGGAGTGTGAAAGTCGTCAGATTGTAACTTTCACTGCAGATTGTGAAGACTGCTGAATAGGGTTTTCATCCGTCGTCGGAAGTGTCGTTGAATTGTAACTCTTCTCGATCTATGTGAAAAGCCCTCCATTCGCAACTTTCGTTCACCGACCCGAAAACTATTTGATTGTAGCTTTCGTTGTAGGAGCTAGACGGGAATCAACATCCATAGTGTCTTAAAGATGAATATTCGCCCATAGCTCTCTACCAAGCAACTATTCGACTATATGTTTCGATCATCGACCCGAAAGCTATTTGATTGTAGCTTTCGTTGTAGGAGCTAGACGGGAATCAACATCCATAGTGTCTTAAAGATGAATATTCGCCCATAGCTCTCTACCAAGCAACTCACCAACTGAGTCCAACTTTTTATTTCTGAAATCGTCCCACTGCTCATCAGCATCTCTAATAGTTGCTATGATATTAGCCATGCTGTTGTCACAGCCATCAAGATCAATCATCTCAGAAGTGAGGTCGTGTTTGTGGCGATTGTGGAGTTACGGATGCAGTGATTTAGAAAGTCGTCTGATTGTGACTTCCATTGTCGGAGCTTATTTGAATAAGCTATCTATTGTGATTTTTAGACAGCCTACAAACATCATTGGCAGAGACGATGAGCTCTTGGTGCTGGACTTGGATAAGGAGGGACCAAACTTTGAGCTCGGCGAGGCCGTTGTTTTGTACGGTGGCCGTGGCTTTGAAGGAGTTGGGCTGGGCTTTGGGGTCCTTGAGAAGAGGATGGATTTGCTTGCGATCAGTGATGGAGTAGGATAACTCGATGCCGTTGTAGACCGGGGGTGTTTCTGGGGGCTGGGATTGAGTTGAGATGAAGAAGAGAGCGAGGAAGAGGAGAGAGGAAGAGGATGAGGAGGAGGAAGAGGAGGAGGAGGAGGAGGAGGAGGGGGAGGGGGTTAGGAGCAGGATAAGTTTTTTATAAGGGAGTTTTATACAAAAAATCCCATCAACACTGGTCGGAACAGTAACTCCGGCCAAACTTAAGGCCAATATGGCGCCGGAGTTAAAAATTTATACCAATCTGACAAAACTTAAAAAAAATATACCAACTTGTCACCAAGTCTCAAGAAATTATACCAATCTGGTCATTTTGCCCATTTTTATATGATAAAAGCATACACATAACCATATAAAAATTAAAAGAGTTCATGAAAATCATTTCTAAAGATTCTTGATTTTACTCAAAAAATTAAGTTGTTTTTAAAAATTATATATATATATATATATATATATATAGGGTGAGGTTCTAATAAAAACCTCCTTAGCCTAAAAACTAAAAACCTATTTATTGCACTAATGCCATTAAAGAGTGCAGTAAATGTCATTATTATACTGAGTGCAATAAATTGGGTCAACAAACAACCAATGAATGCAGATTCACTGGATTGAATCCAGATTCAATCCAACGAATCCAGTTTCACCTCACATAACTGAATCTGGATTCACTGTAGTGAATCTGGATTCACTCTAGTGAATCTAGATTCACTCATATATAGGGTGGGGATTTTCAGTTGAAAAAAACGAAGACACGTATGAGTGAATCTCAATTCACTACAGTGAATCCAGATTCAGTTATGTGAGGTGTTTGTTTTTTGAAGAATAATGATATTTATTACAGTGAATCCAGATTCAGTTATGTGAGGTGTTTGTTTTTTGAAGAATAATGGCATTTATTGCACTCTTTAATGGCAGACAAATTTATTGCACTCTTTAATAATGATATTTATTGCCATCACTGAATCTGGATTCACTGCAGTATAAGCTCTAATCTCAACCATTGGATGAGATAGATCCAATGACCCACAATGGTTTTTAGTTTTTAGGCTAAATTTATTACACTCTTTAATAATGATATTTATTGCCATCACTGAATCTGGATTCACTGCAGTATAAGCTCTAATCTCAACCATTGGATGAGATAGATCCAATGACCCACAATGGTTTTTAGTTTTTAGGCTAAAGAGGTTTTTATTAGAACCTCACCCTATATATATATATATATATATATATATAATTTTTAAAAACAACTTAATTTTTTGAGTAAAATCAAGAATCTTTAGAAATGATTTTCATGAACTCTTTTAATTTTTATATGGTTATGTGTATGCTTTTATCATATAAAAATGGGCAAAATGACCAGATTGGTATAATTTCTTGAGACTTGGTGACAAGTTGGTATATTTTTTTTAAGTTTTGTCAGATTGGTATAAATTTTTAACTCCGGCGTAGCAACTAATGGCATGTTTGTAATCCAAATTATAATCCACTTAGATGAGTGTTTGGTAAATAGGATGGACTACAATCTATTTTCTGGCTTTGCATTTAGATTAACTGAAATAATTGCACTCTAAATGATAATTTAAGAAGGTGTAAGTGATATACCCTTGTAACACATAAAATGTATATGCAATTGGTCCTTGACTACTTTGCCACTAATTATAATAACTAATGGCATATGTTTGGAAACTTTGAATTATATATAATCCACTTAGGTGAGTAAATATGATGGATTACAATCTATTTTCAATAGTAGAGTGTTTGATAAATTAGTGAATTATAACATATTAATGTTGCCAAAATGACCGAAAATGATAGACTTAGGATTAAGCATTTGAATTTTGTAAAACTATGAGGGGGTGTAATGGTCTTTGACACAATCAGACCTCATGCATTATAATCCACCTAAAAGTAACTTGGTGGGGGGTACCCCAAGTTGTTTCTTGAATTATAATTCAAAATAATCCAGTTGAATGGTAGATATCCAAATGTGGTGTATATATGAACCACTTTATGGATCATAATCCAGTATGACCAGTTACCAAACAATGCCCTAAATCATGCATACATAAAATTTTGTAGAAGAGAACATAGAGGAGAGCTTAAATTAAGTACATCTAACCATTAGACAAAAATTCTGAACCCCTCCCGACCCCCCCTCCTCCGGAACCTCCCGACCCCCCCTCCTTCGGCGGTGTCCGTTGCGGAAATCAGTTTAAAAGGTATGATTTTTCTACTGAGCTTTAGAAATTTCAATTTTATTATTAGTTATTGTTGAATTTGGTTTAAAACCCTAATTATGATAAAAAATAAACGAGTTCAATTCTGAAAACCCTAACTTAACTACATGTTAATTCATTTGAACAACACCAGTAATCATATTTTGTTTAAACACTTATAAACCCTAACTCATTTAAGTTTCATTCGTGCTATAAGTATGTGTGATTATTTAAGTTTGTGATGTGAAAATATGTGAAATAATTTTTTGTAAAAAATAGAGTGATATATAACACATTATAAATTTTTATAATGTGTTATAATCCAATTTAGGTGAATAAAAAAATAACGTTATCCCTAGACTTCCGTCCAATAATTACATCCAATTATTTGGACTTATAATATATGATATACGACTCAGATTTGGGTAGGAGATGAAGTTTTCTCCCAAAAATGAGCGTTTATTTTATATTATAGGAATAAAAAATTGGTACTGAAATTCGTAATTATTGGATCTGTCCTTCTCGGACGGGTTAGGAATATAGTAGTGCATACATCCAACTTTGTATACTTTGTGTATTGAAAGTTTTGGCAGCACCTATTCGTTATTCTCCGTGTACAATAAGCGTATGTTGTTCTGCGTTTCGGGCTATTGCTGATACGCATAATAACATCCGCACAGTGTACAGGGAGAACAGCGGGTAGATGCTGCCGAAATTTTCAAGAAATGAAAATATACAAAGTATATGAAGTTGGATGTAAGCACTACTATATTCTTAATGGATAGAAGCCTTCCTATGACAGCCGCAAGATTAGTGTAATTAGTTTTTACGTATGTTTTATATATATTTTATGTAGATAAATATTCATATTGTTAAATGATATATGAACGTATGTTTGATGTGCGTTGAATGTATAAGAGTAATGGATGTATTAGTAGTTGTGAGACTAATCGTATTTAATATTTATATATAATTTACAGATGAGGATAATTCCTGACAAGTCATGGATAGATATCCCTAGGTATCGTAGATTTCACGACACACGATACAAGGAGGGATGTGAAGCCTTCATGCGTTATGCGGAAATGAATCCGAGAAATTTAAGAAGCGGTGCTATGTACTGTCCCAGACGGAAATGAATCCGGGAAATGAATCCGAGGAATTTCCGTCTGGGTTGCTAACCCAGACGGAATTCTTTATTCCGTCTAGGTTGACTTCCGTCTAGATTGATCAATCTAGACGGAATTCCGTCTAGTTTGAAGCAATATAGACGGAAGCAAAATAAACCAATCAAACTAGACGGAATTCCGTCTAGATGAACTAATCTAGACGGAATTGCAATCAACCTAGACGGAAATTTCCGTCTAGGTTGATCGTTTTTCTACTAGTGTATATAACTAGATTAAATAGTAAGAAAATAATGAGTATGCTTGCCGTACGGGGAGATTTCTCTCGTATGAATCAAATTATTTTCAAATTCACTTCATCGAATATTTATATTCCCCACCAAATATGGCCTGCTATCAGTTTCAAGGAAAAGCTAAACTCAAGTTCATGAGCATCACTAACCTAAGGCCCATATGCTTAGTCTAACAACGTACACACATCTAGCCACTACATACCTTATCTAGTCACACAAAAGAACGGACATGACCACAGCAGGCCACATGAACGGGGATTCAGATCATCTCCATTATCTAAAAAGTAGTGGGGGGATCATCACATAAACACAACCATTGATTATCTAGTTGGTAGTTGTGATTTTTTCTTTTAGTACAAATTAGGAATGAGTGCAATACACGGGGGTATGATAAGTGTTAGATTTAGATTGTATCATAACCGCCAATTAAGTAATCAACGATTAAGATTAAAAATAGTGGTCTCTCCATTACTTTTTGGTAGCGGAGAGGATCAAAATTCCATGAACGTACCCTTGAACTGGGATATATAGCATATGCCCCTCCGGAAAAAAAAAAAAAGAACATGTATGGGACATGTCTATGAGAGTGGTGCCCATTAAAAGATGCAACAATTTGAAAGTTCTTTCTCCACCCTTACGCATCAAACCACGAGCTCAATGGTCGGCTTTTCCAGAGTGGACCCTTGGTGTTACTTGCTCAAGAAAGTTGTGCTCCTCCACCCACACGCGTCATGGGGTGTTTTTGCGAAAGGAGGTAGGATTTTATTTATTTATTTATTTTTTAAATCCCTTCTTCTTTTGTGATATTTGTTTCTTTCTTGGGATATTGCATGATTTAGTACTGACGTGTGGATTTTTGTATTTCCAAATAAAACGGGCATCCTTAATTATTTTGAGGTTAATTGGGAACTTTCATGAATCATTGTGTTTTTAACTTAAGCAAGAGTTTCTTTTTATTATTACACATTCTAGAAGTTAAAGAAGAACTTGGAGTTTGGTCCAAGTTGAAGGATTTGATATGCCAATTAAAAAAAAAAATTCAGATGTTTCTATAAAACAACAGAAGGTGTTGGAGGATATATGATTTGGAAAATAAAAGGCAAAAAAATAGGTAGAACAACAGTAATAGGCAAACAATATGTGAGCATCATGCATGTAGGATTCACGTGATGAGTACATGCAATGGAAAAAGAAAAAACAAGTAGCTAAATGTTGGATAACAGTTTCTTAATATGTTTTCTAATTTGTTTTGATAACATGTTATTGGGATTCCTAATCTGTTTTGGTAACATGATTCCAAATCTGTTTTGATAACAGGTTATTAGGATTCCTAATCTGTTTTGTTTTTTGTTTTTAAATTCCTAGTATGTTTATGATTTTAGGATTTCTATATATATGGAACAATTGGAAGAGAGAATTGAGAAGAAAATTGGGGATATTTGGAGCACAGAAAAGAGGTATTTTCTGAGCTATTGATTAAGGTTTTGTTTGGAGAGAATTAAAGATTTGTTGGTGAGATTAATTTATGAGTTTGAGTGATTTGTAATCTCAGTTTGTACTCGTTTTCTCTATTAGTGAAAAACCCTATCCCCTTCTTACCCCGTGAACGTAGGCAACTTGCCGAACCACGTTAAAATTGGTTGTTTGTGTTTGTGGCATTGATTTGGTTCGTTTGGCCTTCTCTCGACGTTCGTTTGATTTGATTTCTCGTAGCACGTTGGTTTGGTTGTTTGGCTTTCGCAGCGCTCAACAAGTGGTATCAGAGCTCGGACTACGCTTGAGCTATTTGGAGGAGTAGATCGTTTTGGAGGCTCGCCTAGGGCTTCGTTTTGGTAAAGACTCTATCTTTTTAGTTTTGGATCTATTCTTCATTTGTTCCATATTTGTTTTGGTGCTTTGAGAAAGATGATCGGGAAAGAAGGAGTTATGGAGGATACTTCCGGCGTGAAGACGTCCAAAGTTTGAATATTCACTCTATGAAGATAGATATGAAAAAATTTAATGGCACAAACAATTTTGGTCTTTGGAGATGTGAAGTCTTGGATGCGCTCAATGCGTAAAATTTGAAAGATACTTTGGAGTTGGACGGGAAACCGGACGACATTGAGGAGAAGGTTTGGAGAAAGATGAATAGAACGGCGTGTGGTGTGATTAGATCTTATTTGACTCAAGATTTAAAATATGATGTGATCAATGAGACTTCGGCTAAGAAGATTTGGGAGATCCTAGAGGGCAAGTATTTAACCAAGAGCGTAGAGAACTACTTGTATTTGAAGAGGAGGCTTTATCGCTTCCAATTAAAGAAGGGGACCTCTATTGGTGATCACATGAACCACTATACGAAGCTTCTTACGGATTTGGCGAATGTAGATGTGATGATTGAAGATGAGGACAAGGCGTTGTTGTTGTTAAGTTCCTTCCCTGACGAGGAATATGAAACCTTCTGTAGGGTGAATATTTGATTTCCCGAAAGAGGGAGTTTCGTTTGTATTTATAAGAAGGCTTATTA